AACGACGAACCGGAAGTGCTCTCAACTACGCCAAGAGATACCTGTTTGTAGGAAAACCCCAGTGTGGTAGAAAGAGAGTTCTTATCGTACTGACGAGCGGTGTATCCGTTGACAGAGTTGTTCGACCTACTAAATCTCTAGTTGGTATTGGAGTGGAAATCTTCGCAGTTATCACAAGTAGAGGAGGCATTAGACAGATGTATCAGATTGCAACCACAAAGGACCATATTATTATTGTTTCCTACAAATCACTAGTCTCGATCACTAATCGATTGACCAGAAAGATTTGCATAACTCCACGAGGTATGATAAATGCTTTGAAATATTTTATTACAATTATAATGCTGGCGGAGGTTTCGTATGACTGAGAATTTTACGGTATTGACTCACTGTGCCAAGCCGTGTCATGTCTATCCAGCTGAGCAGTGGACGCGGCGCCCAAAGCATGAGTGGTCAAAATGACCGGCCTTTTAAAATTCTGAAAAGAATTTTTGTAGCTTGAAAGAACGAAGCAAACGCGTCGGTAAAGTAAAACTGTTTTTATTCTTGCTTTTCATATTTCTGCTTCCTGTTGGCACGTATATCATATTTTAGTCAAAAGAAAACAGAAAAATACACAAAAGTTGGTTTACAGTAGCCTGAGAATAAGGGCTGGCGGCAAAACAGCTAAACTCGCTGTGATTGGCTGAAAAAAATTCACCGCTCAGCTGGATGTAAATGCCGTGTACAAGCTTTTTTTTTTTATATATAAAGCATCATATCCCACTGTGACTGGTCCGAAGATATTCTACCGTATTGTGGCGCCTCGCTCATCGTTTTATTACTAATCAAAACATTTAAGGTCCACCTGAAAATGATCAGTATGGTAACGGTGCACCCTTTCTAATATAGTTGTTATTATTCAGCAGCTGTTTTCGTTTCCTTAAAATTCTTAAAATTCAAATAAATGGTTGAAAATTTTTGTTTTCTAACCGATGATTTAAACGACGCAGAAAGTTAACTGTATTCCCAAATGAATCCAATGTGTTTATGTTATCGACTTTCGGCCTGTGTATTGTTTATATGCATTGTTTATCAGCAAATAAATTTGCAACAACAACAACAACTACGATAACAACGTAATTTGTGATCATTGCGAGGCTTTTTCTGGCCTTCCAATTTTTCTACCTCCTCTCAAATCAGCCCTAACTAATTCATAGTGCTTAGAGCTGTGCTCCGGGTTCATACATGGGCTGTATAGCAGATGCCAGAGGCGCCTTCACATGCTTTCAGTTTGACCCCGTTGAGCTGCGCCACTGCTGTACTTGCGGTGGTGATAAGCGATGACAAGTTTTGCTCTGGCCGTAATTATAAAACTGACTTCATCTTTTGTACTTTTTTATCAGTAACTGTTAAAAAGGGTGCTGTTGCTTTGTACAAACTGACAAGTGCCACTGGTGCACGTGACACAAGTAGAAACAGGAATCCCTCAGCCAAGTTTGTTGGTGTTCGTTACATCACTGGTCCAGATCGCCAT